CCCCAAAACCCCAAAACCCCAAAACCCCAAAACCCCAAAACCCCAGACAACAGATGAGAGATTGATTATAAAATATGATAATTTAAAGATTACTTTTTGGAATATCTAGTCTGGTTGCACTCCCCTTTTCAAAACTTTTCTGATTCTTTCGCTAAATATTATTAAGAAAATATAAAAATGGAAACCTACCAATTTGTTCCCAAATTTTCTATGTTTTAACCCAGAACTCTCCATTTTCATAGAATTATGAAAGAGTTTATTCTCTGAATGAATCATGCTGTCTGGGGTTTCTATCAACGTACTTCTTTTTCGCATTGCTAGGGGTATCTCAGTCATCTCTCCCCTCGACTGATCCTTCTCTAGAGAAGAATCTAGGTTGTTAGAAGAGAAAGCTTACCTTTGCTTAAATATTTGATTTTATCTTTCTCCTCATCTTCAACATTAAGAACGACTATCTTATTTTTATTTATGAGAATTTAACTCTTCTTTAGTCTCTTCCCGTTCGGCTAGATTTGGATGTCCTCTGACCACGTCTTCTTTATAACTTTTACTTTTCTTTTTCATTTTAGCCCTCTTCTCTTCTGCTTTAAACTTCTTTGGCATAGAGATGGGGTCCTGAAAGTTAGCTGGAATCATAGGGGCAACACTCTTTCGTGACCCAAGCTTTGGAAGAACCCCAATGCATGACTTCCTAACGTTAGGATGATCTAAATGCACTAAACCTGTAGGGTGTCTATTTTTACCTCTACCAATTCTATGTCTGCGAGGGTCAGTTGACACGTTGTTAAACGCACTTCCATGTTTAGATTCTTCGCTGTTACTACTCTCTATTAACTCAGACTCTCCTTTTATGAGTCTTTGAATGTTCTGCATCTGCTTAATCATTTTACTCTGGAAATTATTCATCTCTTGGTTCTGATTGGCAACACAAGTCTGTACATGCTTCATTTCGTTATTTTAATGAATAATAATACTCCTCTGCTTTCTGTTCTGGCTTCATTGGATTTCCTCGAAGGAGAGCGGATTTTCTACGATTCTCTTCATCAGCCTTCTTCTTATTTTAACTCAGTTCGAACTTTCTCAAGAAGCCCCCTGAGATCCAGGGACTTATAGGACCTGATAATATTCATAATTCTTCTTATGCCAATTCTGAACTTCTCCATAGGCTTGAGCTTTAAATGGCCGTGTCTATAAATCCTGTAGTCACAGTAAGGTAAGCCATTCTCGTCAACGTAACGTTCGTACTCCATCATTGTGTAGTCTAGGTCTTCAACTTGCTCGCGCATGGCAAATAGTTTTCTAAAAATAATAAAGTGCACCTTACTTGATAGGTAATTTAAGCAATTTTAAGGTTGTTTTGGATTTCCCAGAAATTGAATAGACCTCATTTACCAAAGAGCAGTAAGCACCGATAGAGCTGCCAATATGCAGCGTATCTAGGATAGTCTCAGTATTTGAGTTGTGAACACTCACCTCTAGCTGTCCATCACTGATGATATAGATATCGTTGCAATTACTACCAGCTCTGAATAATTGGGTATTCTCGCTAACAGTAATCGGTTCACAAAGATAAACTATTTCTTCTATTGTCTCATCAGAGACTCAGTAGCTAAGATAGTCAATGTTTCTGAGCACTTTCTTGACGAATTTCTTCCATGGATCTGTGTACTCATCAATCATTTTCCGCTCCATTTTCTGCTTAATGAATGGATACTCCTCAATTAACGAGTCAAAGTCATTTTCGTGGAATGAAGCTAGGGTTGTATAATTTTTACTGATTACAGAAGCAGTTCTCTTACACTTTTTGATCAAAGCAACTTCTCCGAAGAAGTCTCCTTCATTTATGGTGGAGACATGAACTTCCTTCTGCTTCTCAGTCAAGACGGTTACATCACATTGTCCATGAGCAATGAAGTACATCATGTCTCCTTCCTGGTTTTGAGTGATGATTTTATTCTCTGGTAAGAAAAGGCAGGTCTCCATTGTTCCAAGAATTTGATTAATAACTGCGCTGTGTTGGTTAAAAATAGGATTCTTATCCAAAACACTTTTGAATATTGAAGAGATAACCTTCTGCCTCAAGCTTGGGGAGAGAGTGGACATAAAGATCTTCAGTTCACTCTGATGGTCCTGGGTATTCTGAGTGAAGGTAAAATAATCCTTAATTTCTTCTTGTAACAATCTTGGGATCCTTAAATTTTTCATAGTTTCATTTGCATTATCCAACTTCTCTTGAAAGTTTGTTGCCTTTTTATTCAAGGATTGAAGAATTACAGCCATGTTACCGAAGATATTAGCATTAATAATAGCTCCTGTAAGCAAAGTGACGCAGACAAATATTAGTTGGAAATTTCCTCGTGGTCCAACATCGTTTCCTCCTAGCATCAAAATTGCATGGTAAAGTGCATTTAAATATTGATGGAAAGAGCCTGAATTATACAATCCAGTCTCTACCCAGACGTAATCCAGAGGAGGCATCCATTCCTCATTCTGTTTAACTATGAAGAACCATATTCATGCAAGACAATGAAGAAACAGTATCAAGAAGAAGATCAACTTAACCAGCTTTAATGACATTTTAAGTTCACTTTTAACGTTTAAATATGTAATGAGCCTGGATAGTCTCAAGATCCTCACCAATTTTAGTAAACCTATCATTTGAAGAGCCAGTTGGTTGCTTCTCAACCCAGAAAATATGTATGTAAAGAGATCGAAGGGGATAGAGGCTGGGAAGTCGATCCAGAATCTCCCTTTTAAATAATTCATAGCGATCTTTTTATTATCATATATTTCTTGGGCAGTCGATTCTATAATGACTGAAGTTCTGAAACTAATCACCACATCAAGTACAAATGTAAAATCAATCATAATGTTAAGGAAGTCTAGCCATATATAGCTATTATCTATATCTGTAAAGGCCACAGAGTAAGGCACCTGGAAGCAGTTGATAGTAGCCAACAACATGATGAACAGGTCCCATTTTATCTTTCCCTGGTCTAATTGTCTCCAAAATCACTTCTTCTTGGGAGGTCTGCTTTTGGCTTTAAATTCTATATGACCATCTTCCATCTCAGAATTATTGTCGCTTTCTTTAGAGTTTTCCTCAGCTGCTTTCAAAGTTGGAGGAGGTTCTATTTTGCTGAGCACTTCCTCAGGATCATCGTCTAAAAATAACCATTAGAAAACAGTGGTCTTACTACTATCTTTCGATTTGCTATTTTTACCGGCATTAGGTAGTAACAATTGGCTTTTAAACTCTCTTTGATTTTTAAAATTATTCCCATTTTGTAAAGTTGCAACTCTTTTGAACTCATCTCTGCTCACAAGAGAATTATCCTCTTCGTGGCAAGGCTCACTTTCTTTCATCGTTCGCCTAAGATGGATTAGAAAATTCAGGGATTTAGCTGGCACAAAATTCGAATTTTATTTCAGTGGCTCACCTATTATGAATTCGTTTTGACTCATCTTTCTCTATAGAATAATAATTGACAACTGAGAATTATTCTTTAGATTCTTAAATAGGTTTGGGATGATAATAAGAAGAGGGTTTGTGATAGGAGTAAATATGGTTAGGAATTAGCCAATCCGAGGGTTTTGGGAAGTGAAGGAGTTCATAAAGATGTGAAGAGATAGGCCAATCAGATGATAAGCAAGAAGAAATACACTTCTACAATAAGCCAACCTTCTCAAGTCTAATTATATTAGGAAGAAATAGGGAAGAAGGGTTAGTGGGCTAAGAGTCTCTTTATCTTGGGTTTTCTAATTGGCATACCTGGTTTCTGCAAGAGTTGGCGTTTAGTGTCTCCTCTATTCATATCATGAATACCATCGACAATTTCATTATAGGAGTCAGAGTGAGAATTAGACTCTTCAAGGGCAAGATTGTTGCGTTTCTTCTTGCGTCCAAGACTTTCTTGATGTATCCCAAAAATTAGTCTGGAGCCTTCTTGTGCAGTCTCTGTCTTGTCTGGCTGCTGAGAGCTTACTGTTTCGGGATGGACCTTTCCCCTCGACATTTTGTTAATAATAATTTAATAATAAATTCCAATTCAACTTGTCTTAGATGACTTGGGGTTTTGGGGTTTTGGGGTTTTGGGGTTTTGGGG